TCGTGCAACCAGTTTGTGGTATATATCATTTTCTATTTCATATTTCATATTTAATACAAATAAAGTGAAGAACTAAACAGTTGGGGAAAGAGGCACAATATACCGATCAAATAATGTCACCATATGCAGAATTATAACCCGACAACCACGTCCCAGAGGAATAAAAAAGACGCCAAACAAAGAAAAGTAGAAGCAAACAAAGATTCGATTAACTCTCTGAACATAGCGATCAAAATAGGAGATAAGTCACTACCGTTATTGCATACAAATTCAGCACCCATTATCCATAGTACATGAAAACCCCAGATATTTGTGAGCTTCAAATATTACATATCATATAGCATCATATAATCATTTTATGGAAAGATTTTAAAGAAAAGAAAACAAAAGCGCATACTGAAGGGGACAATCGATTGGCGATATTGGAATCCCAACCAAAGCACTTAAATTTTATCAATATCCTCATCCTCGAACTCGATGTAATCGTTGCCGGTGCCATCCTCCTCCTCGTCCAATCCACCACCGATACCCTCGTTGAGCCTGGTAGTGTCCGGCAACTCCCCATAAGCCTTCAGCAGCCTAGCCTCATCGGGCATGTACTTGAGGATCACATCAGCCTTGTCGTCCTGATAGTCCCGGAGGCCAACAAGGATGATGTCACCGGCAGCGATCCATACCTTCTTGTGCATCTTTCCACGGATGTGGCAGAGACGCTTAGTGCCGTCGATGCACATGGCCTCGCACCGACCGTTTCCGAGCATGCGGAGGACCTGGGCGTATTCTTGCCCGTCTTCTTTGAAGACAAGCTCTCTCTTCTCATCGTCGGCTTCGTTCTTTCCCCTCTTTCGGTTCTTCCCTCCCTTTCCCTTATTCTTCGGCATAGTTGATGAAGCTGATACTTCTGGGCAACCCTAAATTTCAATTTCTGGAACTTCTCTTTTGGAATTTCTCTGTCCCAAACCCTATTTCAATTGCGGTTTGCGAGCTCGCCGCCCCTTTTCCGTTTTCCTTCTGTAAAATAGCCGCAGAGGCCCAGCGTTAGGGCATTGCGTGTGGAACTGAAACGGGTTGAGCCTAATGGACGATACTGCCCTTCGTGTATTTCTTAACGTCAGTGCTGTCCCAGAACATAACCCCATTAAAAAGTTATTTAATGAATTATTTTAATTAAAAGACTTGTATATTAAATGTTACTCCATCTTGTCCTATTTATAAATAATTTTTTTATTTTATTTATAAATTGCTTCAAATTTTCATCATGAATTTTTTTATTTGTCCTCCTTTAAATGTTGAAGAAAGAAAATTTATTGTTAAATTATATATATTTAATAAAGATAAAGTTAATAAATTATTAAAGTTTTAAACAGAGTTAATAAATTTTATTTTTTTTGCTTTTGTGAAATATGTTAAAAATAGAATTGAAAAAGTGCATTCACACACTCTCTCCCTCTTTCTTTAATATAAAATGAAATCTGAATTTTTTTTGTCTTAAATAATAAATGAAGTCAGAATAATTTATTTTTTAATTTTATCCCTTATTTATTTATTTATTATATTAAATTCTTAAATAATAATTTATTATGATTATTAATCATAAAAAAGAGTAAAATTAAAAAGAAACATATATTTTTAAAATTTTAAGTTATAGTTAATATTTTTTTAATAAGTGTAAAGTTTGTTAATTTCATTTTATCTTAAAAATGGGAATTGTAAACATTAAACATTAGAGTGAATTGGCCTCTTATCAAGGGGGAATACTTTTTAAGCTTTGTTGTTTTCTTAAAAAAAGGAAAGGCAATATCGTAATATCTCCATCTTTAACTGACAAACTCCTTTGCGTTTCGTTGATAAAAGAATTGGATTCCAAACTGCCCAGTGCAAACTACAACGTTCATACTCACGATAAGATTCCCTTTCCTCCAACGTGGAGCTGCACAATTTTTTTTAAACAAAAAACAAATTAATTTACTGAACATAAATTGCATTGATTTTAAGGGGAAGGGGGGTTGAAGAATTTCAAGTCCTGAGAAATATTAGACGAAACAAAATAAAATAATTAGCTAGGACATGTATATCTTGTATCAACAATAAAAATGAGCAATGCTTCAAAAAGAAAATAGTGGAATAATTTCCTTCAATAGCACTAAAAGTATAACCACATAAAAATAAAGGTCTCATTTGAAAATGATTTCTTTATTCCAAACTAGCATACCTCAAAAGCAAAGCATATTGAAATAATCTGTTTCAACGAAAGGAGACCATTTTCAAATAAAGCTTTGCATGGACTCAAAATTAATAAAGACAATAGCAACATAGTAAGTGCTACCACCTTGTTTGAATTTTTTCATCCTTATATTTCAAAGCTGTTGAGGATTTACCAAAGAAAATCTACTTCACACATTAAATAAGAGCAAACTCTTGAAGCATTATTATCCCTTTTGTCAGGAACAGACCAAACACAAATCTCCAAAATATAAAAAACACAATTGCTCAAATTCCTTAATCACTTCTTTTGGCTAACAAATAATCTCTTTGTTAAATGCAAGATTTCGTTTTTGCCACATTCAATTGTGAAATATAAGCCAAAAATCCAAACCATCCTTGTCCAACCCAGTAAGAATTGTGATAAGGTAAATAGAAAACCAGTAGCCATTATTTTAGAAGAATGAATGGACAAAGTACCAAACCAAAATGATTTAACATAGTGATAGCTCCCAAAAAGATGGATTGTTAATTATGATCCTCACAACGAAACACAAGATGGAGCTGCACATATTTGTTATAACTTTGAAGCATACAGGAATTGTTAATTATTTTTTTTAGTATATTTTCAATTTGGTTAAGATAAAATTATAGAGATATTAATTGTAATAAAGTAATACTGTGCAGGAGAAATTATATTCAATTGTACTAACTAAATGCTACTATCAAACTTTTAAATAAATAAAAACACACGATTCAAAAACTAATAAAAGGCATAAATATTTGCCAACACAAATGTATGCAAGTAACACGGCCAAATCGGAAATTCGATTCTCAATCTTTTATGTATCAAATAGAACATAATCCTTCCATGCTTCATTGGAAACCAGTCTCTGTTCGTAACCCAAAAAACTTCTGTACTACATAGAAATTTAATTTCTCATGCCTTTCATTCTATCTACTAAGGGAGGTCAACTAATCTCTGTGAATGGGTTAGTTTAAAACACTCAACTGTCAGCCGAAAATTTCGATTTATAAACATTTCATTTAATTCATCCGCCCCGATCCAACTGAGAATTAAGAGATTTAATCTGGGTGGAATATAATAAGAAAGCCTAATTAAGTTATGATATCAAGCGAAACTAGAGTGACGTAGGGGGCACATTGCCAATTGCCTGAATATACATGATTCGATTCCAGAAGCGTAACAAGAAGAGAAGGTCAAAGCTACCACCTAGAATAAGTTCACACATATCTTTCAAGGTTAGCGTCTAATGGTGAGCTCAGCCCTAAGGTGGAGGATACCATTTATGAAGTAAAGGCTATCCTCCGCCATGAAAGAGGTCCATGAAATAGCAAACAAGTTCCTGTATCCCACAGCCTTACCCCCGGTGAACTTGTAATTCCCTTTGTATTTGCTCACAAATTCCTCTGTTGGTCTTGACCTCGCAGCAAATTCATAGTCCACCGCGAAGCTAACTGAGCCCTTTTCCTGCATTCCCAGAAACAGCCCAAAACAATTGAACGAGCTCTGCTGGTCCATGTTGCAATGCGCGGAAAGGAAAAACCCTTGTCCTCCTAAATGGAATGCCTGAGAATATACCCTTCCTGAAGGGAATAAGTTGGCACACTCCTCTCGCTTCAGGTCTAGGTACACCACACAGTGCTGCCTGGGAAGTTCAAAATCTACCACCTTCACAGGGCGGTACTTGTATGCCCGCTCCACAAAACGGCGGCTCATGGAAGCAGGCTCCTCTGCAGCCAGTGACCGCTGTCGATGTGGAGCCTCAGCCTTGAAGAACAGTGCTTCAAGTACAAGCTTAGATGCAACTTCGTGGTCAAAGTCACTACATGTTAGGACCTTCTTCAGCTTTCGGCAGGTCATGTAAGGGAAGCGTATCAAACGTGCAAGTCGTGCCCCCAGGACTTCTCGCCTTTCCTCTAGCTTGGGGTACTGGGTTCTAGCCCACTTCAACACGAAGTCATACACAGCATCCTCTGATGCAACCTGAAGATCATCACCAGACAAAATTGCCTCAATTCCAGCCAGGGGCAGGGCCATTACCTCTTCCTGGAACCTGAACATACGATAAGCTTGTTGGAAATATTTAAAAACCAAAGATACATTAAAAATAACATGAATCAAGAATGCAGAGAGCAAACAAAAGTTTTTCAGAAGAATGGACAGTAAAAAGCAAAACAATAGCTGTTCGAGATCCCTAATAATTAGAAGGGATGCAACAAATTTATAATAAATATCATTTTATCGTCCTAACATACTGGTCTATAATCATTAACATTGAACCTTCTTTTCAGCAACAAGATCATCAAGGATGCAATGAAGGTATTAAAAAAAATTCTAGTCACTATCATGAGAACTTTATCAACCAACAAAAACAATGAGTGTTATCCCACTAGATGGGGTTGGTTATATGAATTGCGCAATGCTCATTCATTCCCCCACCCTAAGGTCACGTTGGTTACTAGAAAGGAATGGATTGAAAAAATCATGATAAAAATGAACTAAATCAATCTTTCTCCCATAATAAGCATGATAAAACTCATTAATATATATTACAAATGTGAGAATCATCACATCCTCTAAAAATCTCATGAATCATGATTCTCAACCCCATGAACTAAATTACCCCTCCCCTTTATGAATGTGTTCTCCTATTCCCTTTGATCATCTTATTTTTATCTTTATCTTTTCAATCTATTCTATTTAATTAATTTCTCGCAAGCAAATACTACCTAAGTCTCTTCAAACCACAGCAAAATGAAAAAATAACAAACAAAAAGATCAGGTGGAAATGATTTTGGTCAAACTTTAATATTGCTAGCACCTATGTAAGGATGGGAAAAAAAAAACGTAAATTCTAGTTCCACTAAATAGAAGAGACATATGACACTATATAAGTTTCCAGAACACAGAACATGCAAATTAAGTTAAGCAATAGCTTACTTGGTTATATCCTTGTATCGGGTAGCAAGATACTGCTTTGCTGCATCAGTGAGTGGTTGGACAGCATCAGCCATCAAGACACTGGAAGGAAGCTCCAGGTACAGCAATGCAGACTCAGGTGTCATAGGCATATTCCGCAATGACCGGCTACAGTATCTCATGCATGAAGCCACCTCAAACTTATCAGCAGCCATCAACACATCCAGCAAAGCAGGTGCTGTAGAAGCGTATGTGCTTAAAGTATTACTGTACATAAAATTCAGAAGTTCCATGAGAGCAGCCTCCTCTGTAACATGCAGAAGCATTGACGTTTGTCAAGTCAAAAATTTGAGGAGAAATCTAAAATGGTTACATATATAACAAGGCAGCAAACAGTCCTTTCACAAACAGAATATACCAGAGGCATTAATTCTAATGGTGACATGCCTTTGCTCGGACTCCTTCATCCCATTAGAGAAAAGCTACAAAATTAGATAAAAAAGTAATCAACAAACTTAGATTTTGCAAAAGAACTCAAATCAATGCGCTTCAAAGAACAAGCATTTACCTTATAGAAGAATGGACTTTTGGCAGCCAGTATAGGAGAACTGATATGTAGTGTTTTAACCCTCACAACTGCAGAGCAATCCATGGTCCAGCTTGAGTCATTGCTGTTTGCAGCTTCATCACCTTTGAGAAAAATAGCCAAATTGAAAGGGCAAGTTACAAAACCAAAAAGGTAACTTTAGAATACAAAGAACTTGAAAAGTATCCATTACCTGCTCTCAAGAACAGGGAAAATTTTAAAGTTGTATTTACATTTTGCCTCTAAACATTTATATACGTGTGTGTTTTACCCATCACTTTATCTTTTCCTGCTGTACTCATGTTTGAAAATGAGTGATCTTCTGGAGTCAAGCAATTCATTGAGACAATACACAAACAGAGATAAAATTTAAAAAAAAAAAAAAATCAATTCAAAAGGATAGTTGACCAGCGAGCAAACAAAAGTGGAAATGATAAAAAGTAAAGCATTTTAGTAAAGGGCATATAATCAAGAAACTAGGCCTAATGTTATTTACTCATTAGAAATTAGAATACCTGAGGCGAATTCTTCAACCATTGCAACTGCCTCTTCATCTTGATTTTCACAGGGTGCACAGTCATCCATATCAGGTTGATTGCCATTAAGAATTTGTTCATCAGGCAACACTGTAAGATCTACAACTGCAAGCAAAAGAGCATGCATTAGTTATATGACATGACGAAAAAGAACAAACAAGCAACTAATTAAATATTAATCAACATGAGCAGCAGATTTTAGGATAACAAGAATGAGTTGAGTTATACTTCAGAGAAGCTTGGATCCTGTTGCCAGCAATGCCAATTCAATTATGTCTAATCTCATCAGAATCATGTGTCATAGGTTCAAAAATACTCATCGTGTAAATGTTTGAGAAAAATTCCACAAGAAAAATTAATTAGCACTCTATCCACATGTCCATAAGCACTCCATGCAATCAGAAATCACAAAGAAAAATCAATTAAAAAAAGACGCTAGAATTGTGTTCTACTCATGAGTTGTATTTCAAGAACTCATCTGTTGATCACCCAAAACAAATGAAGCAATCCATGTATAATTATAGTTTACTAACCTATAAGACTCGAGTTTTAGACTCCTCAGCAACTAAGAGGTAAAGAAAATGTCTTTATCTTGTCAGTATTTATATTCACTTGAGATAAAGTAAGATAATAAAAATTAGGAAAAATATAACTTCAGGTCTCTACACTTTGCTCGAGTTTTGCTATAAGTCCGTACACTTTTTCTTTAGCATTCTAGGTCCTTACACTTTTATTTTTTGATGTTCTAAATCCTTATAACATAACCCATGGATGGACCTAGAATACCAAAAAATATATATATATATATATATACAAGAATCTATAACAAAACTCCCCGAACTACGCTAAGGTGGTAGTGGTTGCGGGATCGAATCTGGGGAGGTTCCAAAAGACCCTGGATAGGCAGTGGTGAGGAATAACCACAGTACCACCTGTGGGAAAGCCGGCAATCATGTGGTGACATGTGTGTTGTCCAGCGCCTGGGAAAAGACCCTGGAGAGGCAGTGGTGACCCAGGAGGGCTGTTACATAAAAGGCGCCTTTTATGTAACAGCACGGAGCCACCCCTTGGGCCTCGACTCGGTACTGGACTCTGGCCCATCACTGGACCAAAGCCGACTTTCCCACAGGTGGTACTGTGGTTATTCCTCACCACTGCCTCTCCAGGGTCTTTTGGAACCTCCCCAGACTCGAACCTCCAACCTCTACCACCTTAATGAAGTTGAGGCGAAGTCTGGTACCATTGAGTCAAGTTGGTTCAATGGTACCAGACTTCGCCTCAACTTCATTAAGGTGGTAGAGGTTGGAGGTTCGAGTCTGGGGAGGTTCCAAAAGACCCTGGAGAGGCAGTGGTGAGGAATAACCACAGTACCACCTGTGAGAAAGTCGGCTTTGGTCCAGTGATGGGCCAGAGTCCAGTACCGAGTCGAGGCCCAAGGGGTGGCTCCGTGCTGTTACATAAAAGGCGCCTTTTATATAACAGCCCTCCGCTCACCCCGCCTACCCGAGGTCTTTTGCGGTGCTGGACAACACACATGTCACCACATGATTGCCGGCTTTCCCACAGGTGGTACTGTGGTTATTCCTCACCACTGCCTATCCAGGGTCTTTTGGAACCTCCCCAGATTCGATCCCGCAACCACTACCACCTTAGCGTAGTTCGGGCTGAATCTGGTACCATTGGCAAAATGTAGAAACTCAAAGTTATATTTCACCTAAAAATTAACATCTTACAATATCCATGAATATTGACATGGGTGGTTGACTGCATTTTAAATTTCCTCGTTAAAGTTTCAACTCACCCTCTTCTCCTTACATTTTCAATAAACATAGGGTACACCTGTTCAATAACTTAATCACTTCTGCAAAGAAGCACCCCTATGAATTCAGGGCTGCAAGTAAGAAATCGGAATCCTATAAAATGAAAAGAACTCCAGGATCAACCGGAAATCTTTTTCAATTCATGTCCTAACGCTGCTGCACAACAATTGGAGGCAAAAAGGCGGAAACAACCAATCCAACAACTAAAAATCAACATTGAACTACTTATTCCAAATCTATCTTATTTCTTAGTCTCGTTTCAGTAAATTTCAGCTTTTTTGAATAATTTAAAAAAAAAACACCACGAAAATTGGCTCCTTTCAGTCATCCAAGGTATTAAAGAGATGGCCCAGAAAACCAAACCGATAAAACGCAAATCCAGAGCACGAGAAATACCGTTGTCCTTCTTGATATCTTCCCGCCTCCTCTTCCGATGGCGAACCCAATCGGCGATACTGGTACACCCTTCGGAATCTGGCCTAGCCTCGACGGAATCACCCATAATCTCGATCCGGAGAATCCTATCGGAGAAATTACTATCATTAAAAGCGAACCCAAAATCGGCATCCGAAGACGAAGCACGGCAAGAAAAATGGGACTCCATCACCGTTCCTGGGTCAAACAGATCCGAATTGAAATCTCTCATACTCCAGGAGACCTCTAAACTCAGCCAGATTCTACCGAAAATCTGAAGAGAAAAGACTCGAAAGAGAGGGAGGAGGATCAGCGATATGTTGAGATGGGGGAAGCAAGCCCTAGATGGCTGAACGTTGGCTGAGACACTTCAGAGCGGAGGAAGAAAATTTTCCGGGGTTACAGAGGTAGTAAGAAAATGGAAAGTGATTGAAAAACTATAAATATGATAAATGTAACTACTTTTGTTTTTCGAAGAATGACAAAGAGGAAAAGAAAATGATAATTTGATATCGCGTGTCTTTTAAGCAGTGGTTTGAATCTCAAACCAAACATCAAATCGTAAAGAACAATGAGTCATAATTTTTACAATTTAATTAGTTAGATAGAGATCGAACAGATGATATAAAAATTAAATTAAAATAATATTTATATGTATAATTATATAAATAAAATATTAATTTATTATTGATGTTTGGGATCTTGACTTTAAAAGCTAGATGCTTGGACCATTGAAACTAAAGGTAGAGGCATATCAGTACAAACTTGTGATCTCAAAAAAAAATGCTGGACTTAGAGACATGCCGTCATGTCATAACTCACAAACGTACAGTTTTAATGCTAAAGGTTGAATTTCTAGAGTTGGAAGTAGAGGTTGGAGAAAAATTTAGAAATTGAGCTTGGGTCATGAAAAAAAATTAGAGATTAGAGAAAAGAAGAAAAGAGAGAACTAGTGATTAGAGAAGAGAAATTTCAAATCTAAGCAACTTAACCTATTTTGTTTTTAATTTTTTTGGTTTTGAATCGGGTTAACCCGGCCTCAGTTTTTGGGTCAAAGCCTATTCTCTCAAAACCAACTGGTTCAATTCCAGTCAATTCAAGTCAAATGCTAGATTGGTTCAACTGATTGAACTAAACTGCCTTGTTCAACGGGTGACAGTCGGATTGATCGGACCATCCGGTCCGATCCGATTTCAACAACATTGCTTTTGAGCCTTGGAAGATTGGATTGTTGTAAACTTTTTTAATAAAATAATAAAAATATCCTTTAATTTAGAAAAAATAATGAAAGAAAGTTATAATGTTTAAATTACTTTAATCATTTATTAAATCAAGCTTGTAAATTTTAGAACCAAAGCTATAAACAAAAAGAACTTTGTTGTATTTTGCAAATCGAAGAAAAATAGGAAAACAAAGTTATAAATATTTAAATTACTTTAGTCATTTGCTAAACTAGAGCTATAAATTTTAAAACTAAAGTTGTGAATAAAAAAAAACTATTTCACTTTTTAATAGTAAAGAGTATTTTTGTCATTTCATAAATTTTTTTAACAACAATTTGGTTTTTTGAGGATTAGAAGAAATTATCACATTTCATGGAACCAAATTATTATTTGGGTTAATGAGCAAAATAGACTTTAAAGTATTGAACAAAAAGTGCCATAAACCTTGAACTTTTAAAATGTACAAAATTGATCTTAAATTTTTAAATTTATAGCAAATGAAACCCTATTGTTAATTTTTTTTAATCATCATTACTGTTCATTTGTTAATTAGTACCCTACATCCTAAATTAGTATGCAGTAGCGTCATGGATCTGGAATTTAAAAATTTCTGACAAATTACTCCCAATATTTATGTATAAAATGTTAACTATTATAGATACTAAATTAGCTTTAGCGTGGCCCGCTGTAATAAACGCATTGTTAGCTGTGACAAATGACCTATAATTTTGTGAAATAATATTTTTTATCCTTTTTTTGCAATGTTTTCGAAACATTTGGCATTTCATGCTTCTATATCCTTTACAATTTTAATTTAATCTTATTTTGAATACTGTTTATTTATTTAATGGTGAAAACTTAGGATCTTGTTTGAAAAAAAATTTAAATATTGAAAGATTTTATAGATGATGGATGTGAAATTTGACGATTTCATCAACGAATTTAAAATTTAAATTAATCATTTAATTAAAATCCTTCAATATTTAAACTTCTTTTCTAATGGCATCCCAAATCCTAACCATTAAATAAATAAATATTATTTAAAATAAAATTAAATTAGAATTATAAAATATATAAAAGTATGAGATATCAATTGTTTGAAAAATATTACAAAAAAAGAGATAAAAAATATCATTTCATAAGATTATGAGTCATTTGTCACGGCCAATAATGCATTCACTATAACAGGCCATACTAAAGCTAATTTAATATATATAATAGTTAATATTTTATATATAAATAATAGAGATAATTTTTTTAAAATTTTAAAGTTCATGGTCAAGGTAGCTGCTATAATATTTAATAGATCTTTACTGTGTGCGCGCGTGCTTGACCTGCTATAATATTTAATAGATCTTTACTCTGTGTGTGTATATATATTAAACTTTTTAAAACATATTTTTCCCCCCCAATCCATGCTTTTTAGGAAAATGTTACAGCAGACTATAAATTTTGGGCGTTCTATAAGACTTGCCAGACAATTCAACAATAAACCCATCGACAAATTATTCAAATCTTGCCTGAAGACAAAAGGTTCTCATTTTTGGATAATACATGCTACTTAAACAAAAATCATGGATTTTTCTTACCTGCATTATTAATTTCTCATTAAAATTACCATGAGTAGAATTTTGAGAAATAAAATAATACTCTTGCTCTTTTGTTTTCCCAAGGTCGATGGTTAGTATTCTGTTGGGTCTTTATTTTTGAGTGAGAAGCCCAGATTTACAAAATCCTTGGATCAACAGGCCCATTTCCTTTACCTCCCAAGTCCCAACGCTCCTATTGTCTATTGAGTGTTTAAGGGAAAAAAAAAAAAGGTTTTGACGCCTAAGTGTCGTGATGGCGAATCTTTTCCTTCGCAGCTTTTGATAAATTTTATATTTTATGTTTATATTCATATTGATTGGTTATATCAAATCTACAAATCAGGGCCCATTGATTGAGTGATTATCCAAACACAGAATGATAATGTTACAGTGCTACTATTGGATGAGTTAACCTCACGCTAGGATCTGGCATGCCACCAAGTTTGGACTACCGAATCTAATTTGCTGCCACTTGGGGAATATCAATCAACTTAATTAATGGCATATTCAGCAACATGAGTAATAGTAATTATGAGCAGATGAGGTCAGAAAGTAAGTGGAACGTAGCATGACATGATGCATGCATGGAGGAGCCGGACTCATCGGGCGCATGGAAACCAATGATAGGAAGAACATCAAGAGGCTCCTCGATCCCTCCCATGATAAGTATAAATATAAATACATGGCATGGGGGAGACACGCAAAGCAGAATTGCAGAGCAAAATGGAGAGGAAGGGTTGCTGTTCTCGTGCGTCCATGCCAAAGGCAGAGATCAAGAAGGAAGTGATTCAGAAAGCTCATGAAGAGATCAAGAAAGAAGTAACAGCAGTGAGTACTCAGGAGGATGTGAAGCCCAAGATCCATGAGCTGAAGAAGGAAGAAACCAGTGCGTGTGGTGGTGGGAGATGTGGCTATGGAGGGAAATGAATGAATAATGTGTAGCTCAAACTTACAATAAGGGGGGTGATGCTGCTATGTAGTTTCTGTGGCGTTTCACTTTATATGTCCTTTTGTACCTACCTACTGGTCTGGGTTTTATTTTGTGCATTGTTCTTATCACACCCCTCATTTAATTAAATGATTTGTGTTTTCCAGCTGCTCTGACTACTGTTTCTTTAACCCATTCTCGGAAAACGGACAATGAAACGTTCTGTGTTGTCATTTTGCAAATTCAATTCGTTTTCTAATACCAGGTTGTAGTTTCATTTTGTGATAGACTACTATACATAGTGGATCTGGAATTTTTATGTAAAATGCTATCATGGTGGATTTAGAATTTTTTTGGTGCTTAATTGATTTCCCTTTTCATTGCCTGTGGAACTCGAGGCTCATTGGTTTGCAAGAACAAGAAGAGGAAGAAGAACGAATGAAGAGGAGGAAGAAAGATTGATTTCTTTTAAATTTGTGTTGGATGTTTTTCTTTTTTTTTAAAAAAATTAATTATTGAAATATGTTATGTCGCTGCCAACATGGCAAGTCAAGATCAAACTAACATTTAATGTAGTGAGATTTTATTAACAGGGAAGATTGTATCAAATTTAAAAACGTTGAGAGAAAGTTATGTTAACAAATACTTTAGAATATAAGGCCGGGTAAAAAACTAAAAATATTGAAGGTAGATTTATACTTTGATTTCTTTTTTTAAAAAGTTTTTGTGTTACACACATACACATATATATGTACATGATGTGATCATATACAACTTGAGTGCACAGCGTATGAACAGGCACACTAATTAATATACAAAGTCAAAGTGACTTGCTGGACCATACATTAATCAACATATTTGAAAATAGGATCTTGATGCTTTAGGATTGGTGAAAGCACTGTATTATTATTTTAATTAAGCTACATTGACCTCATTGCTGATTGTGAATTGATGTTTTGCGTTTACTTTTGCTAATTCATAATTGATGTGTGATATATAAGATAATGTCAAAATCAATGCCCCTGTACATATTGGCCTTTATTTGGTATGAATATTAAATTTTATGAGATTGCAAATGAAATTAGCAATGGGATTGGGTTTGGAAATGGTAGTGGAAATAAGCTTTAGAATTATGTTTGATATGTCATGAGATTAAAAAAAAAAAAGGCCTCAGATCAAACAAAAATCAACAAAAAAACACCCAAATGCCCTTATCTTCTTTCAATCACTATCATGCTCAACGCAGAAAAGAGACTCGGCTTAAATAAAAAATTAAATCCCATGAGAAGAAAATCAAAGCTATGGATTCAAACTCACAAATTAGAATAATTTGGATGGATTATATCAAATATGCAGATGGTGTGTTTCTTGCTGTGAGACTTTGGTGAGGCAAGTGATCTCTCACACCCTTGTTTTTCTTTGTTAAATCAAAGCCATGGACCAGAAAAGAGAATCAGCTCAAATAAAAAAAAATCTAAACCCATGAGAACAAAATCAAGCGTTGCAATCAACGACTTGGAACGATAGAGCAAATGCAGCAAGTCATGGATCTGGGTTCAACGATTGTGGGAACGATGAGGGGGAAGGGGAAGGATGTTTCTTTGGGGACGACGGCAATGGTGAAGGGAGGTAGCCATGGTAGAATAAGCTTGGTTGAAAGAATAATAACGGAGTAGAGGG